GTAAAGACTTGTGTCGTTAAAATTTCGTCGGAACGAAGTTACGAAAAAAATCAATTAACGAAACGGAGACGTAACAATATGTTCGCATGTCATAATGGTATAGATATATATCATAAGTTTCTATATTTCTGTAATATTAGCATTTATTCTGAACGTTCTTTTTTCTGAATATTTGAACGTTTTCACATAACACCTAGTCATATCTTGTTTCAAGTTAACGTTGTTTCTTTGCCATTTTCAATATTGTTAATGGCTGTTATTGCCAGTGGAGAACATTGCTTTAAGCGATTCTGTTTCAGAATGTGGATAGCAGTGTCCTTCAGTGGTTTAACAAGTAATATTTAGAGGTATGTACAATGAAAATGACCAGTCACGTGATATCACGCCTGCGTACAATGAGATTCAACCATTTCTTATCCATAGTTTGCGCTTTTACTTTTAGTGCCAATGAGGCTGTACTTTTTTAACAACATTGGAAAAAATCCTCATCTGGTGCAATCTGACATCTGTTCACACTATGTTCTTGCATGGTCGTCTTTTCCTTCAGTCTGTCAGTATAGTATTTGACTGCTCAATATTTCCTAGTGACAGATATTTAGACTGTCATTGTTGATAATCTTTGGTGACAGATGTCTCTGAACAGTTGGATCAATAAACAGTCTTCGATAAAGATGTTCAAGCCAGATAGTAATGCTCCTGTGAAAGTTAAAAAGTATATTGTTCTAACCATTTGTTTTGGTAATTATATATATTGTGATAAAAGCTCTGCATTTATAGGCTCAAGCAAACACCAATTACATGATTAATCGATCTGGCATGTGAAATAAGTGGCGTGTAATACATATGCGTAGGTATATGGGGTAAAGTCTTAAAAAAGTAACCATCCATTGCAAAATGCGAAACGTGTTTCATGTGAGAGTTGTATAACACCAAAGTTAATGAAGTGTATATTTAATTTTTTAGAGGTAATACGTGTGATAATACATTACACCAAGTCTATAAATCTTTCAGCAATTTAGCAGAAACAGTCTTAATATCAGTTTCCTGCAATAAAAGTGCATGATAACATTTAAAATACGATTTATTTGTTATTTGTTGTTAAGCGCAAAAGTTACAAAATGTCTAACACGGGGAACTGAACCTTGGATTTTAATGCTGTAATTCCATATACTTACTATTGACCCACCGAGAGACAGAACTTTTATGTAAACAAAATGTTGAAATAGCATGTATCCATGGTCGTTCGCAGAATGAGGCAAGGGGGCATCCCCCCCCTGAAGTTTCAGAAGAAAATTCATTTAACAAATCTATTAGAAGATGATGCTATATAAACTACGAAATTGCAAGGGTGTACATCAATAAGCCATAATCAGCCAGAACATCGCTTTTAAACTTCAAGGCAATGGTCTGCGCTCTACGACGCCTATTATTTCACTCAACAAATAAAAACTGCAATATTCCTTTTATTACTTTCAATTACATGCAGTCCCTTGCAAAAACCATAACCATGTAGTTCACCTTGGAGCATCTTATCCTTTTTCACCTTCTTGAGAAAACGACAAGGACACGTTAAAGGACCTATTTACCATAACAATATCCTTGTATTATTTAACAAGAGAAACTTGTAAGCTGATCAGAGTATTAGGCTAATCTTTTATTCTTTGTTCATATTATTATTCTCCTGCATAAAGATTTTATGTACACTGTATAGTAATGTCTACTGTTTAAACTGACTGTGCAAAATATGTCTAGAAATATTTTGTCAAAAGCTTTTTCTGTTTATTGTATCTTGTATATGTTGCACAGTCTGAACTCCTGGTCAATAATAATTTATTTCCGGTGACAACTACTCCCAATAGAATCTTCCTACTTGCACTTCCGACCCGTAAATGGTGCTATTCGGTCTTCTTCGTGGCTTTTGTAATGCCTCAATGAGGTGGCATCTAAATCTGATTAATTAAATATTACGAAAGTCCCCTATGTTACCTGAAAACATCATGTCATGCTAAAAATTAAGTTATTGTTTAGGCAGAGTATTCATGATGAAACTCAAGACGAAAGACTTTCGAAACATCGTTCTCTACACTTGCGTCTCTACAACAGGCAGTTTCATAATTTATTGTTATCTAGTAATACCATGGACGGGGTGAAGAGAACTTCATTATTTCAGAACATAGTTTCTAAAATCATCCTAAATACCTACCATGTAATGTTGTTGCTCTTACTTCCAAATTTGCTGATGACCATTGCCATCGTTTCCATCATCAAATGGTTCAATTCCACATACTAATAAGATGTACTAGACCACCGTGACCCGTTGGGTCAACCACTATTCAGATGTTATGAAGAATTCAAGCTAATTTCAATATTGCACTGAAATGAAAGTTTATTTAGAGATAATTTAATTAAATATTTCAATCCAATCGTGTTATTCATAATTCAAGTCGAGAGAAACAACAAAATTTAGATAATACCACAGAATAGCGTTTACAGGCATTTGCTTTCCAAAATTTTCTGGAGGATACTTCCGCAAACAACGCTGCCCTCCGTGTTCGCAGGCTGTGGACTTGCCCCCAATTGGAATAAATTCTACGGACGCCCGTACTTGTATCAAATAAAGAATGATATAATTATTGAATTAACTATAACGACATATCTTTGTATTTAGAAAGCTTTTATTTATTATCTAATATTTTAATAACACGTAAGAATAAATAGCTAATTAATCTTAGTTTAAATTTAAATTAAATTATGCATTGAGAATAAAAACAAAAGAAGCAAAATAGGATATGTTTCTTTTTGCTTGTTTCTTAAACTATAACCTAATTTAGTTGCTTTGATTTCACTATATATATATATATTTCAAATTATACTTAGATTTTCCACATACATTATTTTAAAACTCTACGAAAAGTGATAAACTACCCCACCGCTTATTTAGTGTCACAGTATCCTTACTTACGGATGTCGATATGGCTAGTTCGATTAGTGTATTGTCTCGTACTTTGGGATGGAATTTTAAAAGTTAGTATGAAGCTGTTATTGGTTTGTCATTTATATATTTTATTCACACTTTCCTATGTAACGTTTCTCATGTTTCTACAGACATATTATGTTTTTTAGATTTTGAATTTAATCTGCGGAATATCGCAGATTAAATACATTTATCAGCAAAAGTCTATCTCTTGGTAGGTTATCCGTAGCAAATAAGCAATCGCCGGTAGGCACCCTTACGACACCTAGATTTTTTTAGTCTCGTAGTCGTAGTTGATATTTCTGATACAAATGTAACTTTTGTAATAAAAGATACCGAGTTTTATTTTTGTTCTCATGTCTTAAATTCAAGAACGGAATATATTTTATGAAAATTTACTTATTTAGCTTAGGTTTCTTTATTATATTCAGTTACTAAATTAGTAACATGTGGACAGATGTGTAGGTTATTCAAAATTCATAAGAATTTCAATTTCCATTATTAATATAACTAAGCATAAGAAAGGATAGCAGGTCATTTAGCCGACTACAACTGTATGGAATTCCGTGTTCAGAACTAAAAACATCCAGGTGTTATCTGGGTTTTCTATATTTTATTTTTAGCTGTAATGGAGCAAGTAGTATATGAGTTTATTTTGTGTAAAATCTGTGTCAGGTGACTAGTCATGTGATCTGGTAGTGGTATGAAATTCTTTCCCATTGGAGTCTTTGTCCATAAAAGCTTATTTGATACAACAGAATTTACAACCAAATAAGTGACAAAAAATATTTATTATTAAGACATGATCACTTTTGACGATGCAACACATATTTTGTTAGGACAAGTTTATAATGAGTGAATCAGTGAGTAAAGGTATGAGGGTAATATGGTCTACTCCTCTATCAAAGCTGCTTCATTTTCATTAACACTGCTTAGCGATGATTCATGCTGTCGTAAGCTCCTTCCCAGAGAATCCATTACTGTAGACACAGTTCATTTATTTGGTACTTTCTTCTTTTGAGAAGTTGCTAACCAGTTAAGGATATAGCTTTATTAGTTATTAGAGGAGGCACATATGATATTCCTCCAAAATAAATGCTTTTACCAACTGATCTGCATGTAACTACAATAATGGCTGCAAGATTTGCATATCTATATCATTTGATATTTATAAATTATAATGCATAAGGTCAGTGTAGCTATCAGTCCTGACCTCTTCTCTGACCAGTATGCCACTACCACAATATGCACATTTCTCCTTCGTGAAATTGAGGTTGGATCTAGTCCTGGCCACTCTCTAGATGTCCACATGTCTCGGACATGGCTGTAATGTGAAGCATGATTTGTCTGTGAAAAGGAATTTTGCTAACATGTCATTGACATATCTACATGTCCAACACCTGGGTTATTTTGTGTGTGTTAAAGCAACGTACAACATTGGTCATTTGACATAAAGGCCATCCATATAAAGCCTCTTTTTTTTTATTATTTCCATGCTGAATTGCTATTTAGTTACTGGTTTGAACTGTTGATTCAGTTAGTAAGCTGAGACCCACTGGTTGTGCCAAACCTGTTTTGTCAAATAGCTGTTATCTTGTACAAATTGTTAACAGTAGTCTGCCCTGTCCAGGTCTCTGGTCAACTATATTGGTGGCCTGAAAGGTGAACATGTCCTGTTAACCACATTTTGATAGACTTATTTACATTGCAATGATATTGTGATTGACCAGTTTCTAACTGATCTGTAGTTTCCACATTGTGGAAATGTCTTCTTTGGAGTCTGGCATGTTTCTATCTCAATCTGAATCACTTTCTATTGTTAAAATGGCTAAATAAGATCACATTGTTTCCTTCACTTGGATATGCTACTTAACATGACTCGCCAGCTGACGGAATAACTGAGGAGCCCCAGTATATCATTAGTTTTGCCTTGTAAGGGATAGATTTTATAAAACTAGGATTATCCGTTAATTGTTTTTATCAGCGTATTTGTATGCCTATTCATGAAGAATTTAAACCAAATTATTTAAAGTAAAAGCTATTTCACAAATTAAATATTCTAAGAGAGAAATCTTTCTTAGAAACAGTTTTTTTTAATAGTTTTTATTGAACTGAAAGAAAGTTATTTTACCATTATAAAATTTGTTTAACTACTTATGTTTTTTCAAGTTCGTGCCACAGGGATTCGTGCGTGTTACACCAGCACACGTAGTCGCTTGATGATCGACAGAGATACTAAAGTTATATGTCAAGGGATCACAGGAAAACAGGTGACACAACCCTAAAGTTGTCATGTTTTTGTACCCACATAACTTGTTATGAATTTTAAAATATTATGGTGTATTATATATTGAAAGCTTTTTTTTCAGTTCTGATTGGATATTGATGTTACAATGTACCTTGTCAAGTCATCAGTACTAGTCTTAAACATAAACTAGGACTGATGAGAAAAATAATAATGTTTAAAATTATTTGTATCTCTTGTGCAACAAAATGTGTGATGCTTGATTCCTTATTGAAGCATTTAATTTGATCTTATCATTTAAAACAAAACTTCACGAGTCTACTTTAAGTCCTCAGTACCCACAACTTATTAGTGGACTGTGTGATCTGATTATGTTGCTAATTTGGGATTTATACTTAAGATGCAAGTCTTTGTTAAAAGCAAGTTTGTTTGTTTGTTGTTGTTGTTTTTTGGGGGGGAGCAAAACTTTTGGGGCATGTTGATTACAAGACAAAAGAGATAATTATCTTTTTGTCTAAATCACTAGTTAGGCTACATTTGGAATACTTTTTTTTAAGTTTTTGTCTCTGTGTATAAGATAGGATATTGACTTACTGGGAGGAGGGCTGTTAGGAGTGTTTCTAGGATATTAACTTACTGGAGGAGGACTGCTAGAAGTGTTTCTAGGGTATTAACTTACTGGAGGAGGACTGCTAGGAGTGTTTCTAGGATATTGACTTACTGGGAGGAGGACTGCTAGGAGTGTTTCTAGGATATTGACTTACTGGAGGAGGACTGCTAGGAGTGTTTCTAGGATATTGACTTACTGGAGGAGGACTGCTAGGAGTGTTTCTAGGATATTGACTTACTGGAGGAGGACTGCTAGGGGTGTTTCTAGGATGTTGACTTACTAGGAGGAGGACTGATAGGAGTGTTTCTAGGATATTGATTAATGGAGGAGGACTGTTAGAAGTGTTTCTAGGATATTGATTAATGGAGGAGGACTGTTAGAAGTGTTTCTAGGATATTGATTAATGGAGGAGGACTGCTAGGAGACAACAGGATGAGAGGACACAAGTTTAAAATTTCTAAAAGATATGTTCAGTTTGAGTTAGGACTGGTTAATTTTTCTTACAGGGTGATTTACTTATGGAATGAATTGCCATCATTAGTAGTGGAAAATAAAGGGTGGGTTTAAAGTTATATTTTTCTTAATTGTGGGTGTGCAAGGACAGTCTTGAATTTGATGTATGGTATTTTCAATCTTAACGATACAGTATACAACACTTAGGGTAAGTGGCTTGGCCAAACTTTATTGTTTAGGCATAGCAACTCCTGAAACTGTTGATGAGAGAGAAGGAAATTAGTCAGCAGCACCAGCTGGCTCTGCTCTACTATTTACCAAACAGTGTGAGTTGACTGTTATAGCTCTGATGCTTTCATAACTAAAAGTTTGGAATGAGTTTGGTCATCATCTCTCAACTCATACCTTTCAGTACATAGCATGACATCCTTATGAGGAGTGAAAGGTGCAATAGATAAATTATATAAGAACCATATGATTGGTTAGTAATCATGTGTAAAACTCCATGATTGGTTAGTAATCATGTGTAAAACTCCATGATTGGTTAGTGATCATTTGTAAAGTTCCTTTAATGGTTATTTTTTTTTAGCAAGTCAAGTTTTTAATCATAAGCTACATCTACTGAGCTTTTAGTGAAAGACAAGCTTTATGGTTTGATTCCTTGCATTACATAAATAATATAATAAATATTGTTTTGTTTTGATTTTTTGCAAAGTCACTAGCCATACCTAATTTAGCAGTGACAGACAATCAACTTGGGCTACTCTTTAACAATGAATAGTGGGATTAACTATGACATTACTCCTCCACAGCTGCAAGGGTGAGCATGTTTAGTGACAGGGATTTGAAGCTGTGATCCTAACCACCAGGAATATTTTGTGGTATTGCACAGATTGGAATCCGGCTCCAAAATCCACATGGCCAACCAGTGACTCAATAACTGTTAATAGTGTAATATAAATTCTTTATTTCAAAATATAAAACTAATGAACTCTAAAAAAAACATCATCAAAATAACATGAAAAACAAAATTTTATATATATTTGTTATTATTTTTTGATAGGGTACATTTCATTCTAAGCAAGCAATAGAATATGGAACAAAGTTAGTGGGAGGAGTTTCTCCAGGAAAAGGGGGCTCAACTCATCTTGGTGTACCTGTTTTCAATACAGTAAAAGAGGTATGTTAGTTTCATTCTGTTTCTTGTACATTTATACGTTAACCTCGAGGCACTTTCAATTTGTTTCATCCTTCTAAGGCCTCTCAAATTTGGTGATTACAAAAGCATCTTGACTATGGTAGTTTGTAAATGTAACTTTAAATAGTATAAGGAGTAGGATGGAAGATCAGTTAATCAGCAGTTGAATAGTTATTAGTTGGGAAGATGTAACTTTAAGTAGTACAAAGGAGTAGGATGGAAGATCAGTTAATCAGCAGTTGAATAGTTATTAGTTGGGAAGATGTAACTTTAAGTAGTACAAAGGAGTAGGATGGAAGATCAGTTAATCAGCAGTTGAATAGTTATTAGTAGGGAGATGTAACTTTAAGTATAACAAAAGAGTAGAATGGAAGATCAGTTAATCAGCAGTTGAATTAGTAGGGAAGACGTAACTTTAAATAGTACAAACGAGTAGGATGGAAGATCAGTTAATCAGCAGTTGGATAGTTATTAGTAAGTCTGAAGGGAAAATGTAACTTTAGATAGTATAAAGAGTAGGATGGAGTAGTCAGTTAATATTAATAGTGAGTTATGCTGGTTCAATTGTTTTCCATGGTGTGGTTATTAGTGTAATAAATCACGTAATTAACATACTTAGTACACAATATAAATTACTTTCTTACTCCAATACAGGCCTAAGCATTTTTTTGTTTTACACAACTATTCCAAGGTAATGCCGGGGCAATCATTTACTACAGTGTGGTCTTAGACGCTATACAGGCTACATAGTTAACACATTTGTTACAGGTATAGAATATAAATAACTTTTTGTATCCTTACCATGCATACTCCAAAGCAAGTCCAAGCATTTATCATACCATAGAGGTTTTGATACGTATATCTGTTATTTGTGACTTTCCTAAAATTGTATGCTTTTCTTAAACAGTCCTTTTGATTTTAAGAACTGGTCACCTTTGGTTTTTTCCATTTATTAGCACACTGGCCATTGGGCAGACTATTTAGCAAGGTAACCCTCAAATGCTGTTGTTGGTTGAGACAGGTAAAACTCAACCAGATACACTAATATCAGTGGTGTATGAACAACTAGTTCTATAAATGCTACAGCAGTGGAACTGAAAACTTTTGTGATGTTATCATAACCAACAGTACCTGTCTGTTTTCCTGTCTGCATTAAAAAAAGAGAGAGAGAGAGAAAAGGAAAAACAATTATCGTGGAAAAAATAATACATCACCAAATCAGAGCTGCCCCATGCTTCTGTTGATTAGAAAATTTTGTTTTGTTGTGCTATTTTGATCTAAGTATAGCTATAATTATTTTAATGAGGGACCGTCTATTAAAAAGTTCCAGTAATCTGACAATGTGGTAATTTTAAATTTTACTTGTATAAAAAATTCACAGAAATAATAAATGTCTTATGCAATATTTCTTGATATGTTTAGCAAATTACTTATGCTAAATTTTTATGTAATTCTTCAGGTTCTTTATTTTTCTAATGATTTACAGAAATTTCTTATGGAAAAAAAAAAGGCAAATATTTTTTTCAAGTAGGCAAAATTTTAATTATATTCCAGAGTAAGCTTGTAGATTTTTTTTTTATACTTTGCTAGATGTGTTTGAATATGTTCTAAATGTGCTATTAGGCTGTTGAAATCACTGGAGCCACAGCGTCTGTTATCTATGTCCCAGCAACACTTGCAGCTAAAGCCATTCTCGAAGCTATAGAAGCAGAAGTTCCTTTAGTGGTTTGTATTACAGAAGGTATGCCCCAGAAAGATATGGTCTTCGTCAAACATCGGCTCTTGAGGCAAACAAAGACTCGTTTGATTGGCCCTAATTGTCCTGGTGTTATCAAGGTAATGCTTTGTTGTGTGTGTGTGTGTAATTAGCTGCTATAGTATATAGCTAAAAATTAGGACATAAGATTTAGGAGGCATGGTACAAGTAAGTAACGTATGATAGAGAAACACAAAGATTTGAGTAAGTATATTAATGTTATATTGGCACAACAAGCTACTTGGTTTTTTTTTTTTATTTACTTATTTGTTGGTGGTTTCACTGCTCTCTTTACAACTTATATGCCGCTTTACTGGAATTAAATGCTGTGTTAAGTGTTTACTGGCGAGGATCTACATTCATAACATATAAAAACATTTTTTTTTAAATCACAGTGTGCACATTTTCAGCCATGAGCCTTCTTCATATCTGACCTGAAAAGAAGTACAAATAAAAATTAAGTTTATAATGGTAATTTTTAGTTCCATGTAATTTTTTTTATTTCAGTTTTATTCAGACAGATTTTTACACGGAGAAAACCGTTTATTTCTAATGCAGCTTGAGTAATCAAGTTTTTACATTGAAGGTAATTTGTTTCAGCAAAAAACTAATGAGTAACATGTAAAATTACTATTCTAAATTTCATTTTCAGTCATAGTAAGAGGTGCAGGAAGTGGGGCTACCCCCCCTCCCCACTTTTCAATCTGTTCCAGTAAAAATTGTATAAAAATTAATAGAATTTCTCTCAGGAAAAGCAGAAGAATAAATAAAATTTAATCCAGAACCCAAGAATTTCCAGTGTCCTAAGGCATGCCCTAGACCCCCAGCTGTAATTGGTGCATTGGTATTGCACATTTCCTCACTTTGCTCGGTCAAATACCCCCCCCCCCTCCATAATTCTGACTGATTATTATGCTGTCTTAGTTTCGGATTTTTGTACTTTAAAAGAATAAAACATTGTCTTATGTTTTCCAGCCTGGTGAGTGTAAGATTGGTATCATGCCAGGCCACATCCACAAGAAAGGAAAAATAGGAATTGTTTCTCGGTCAGGAACTCTCACATACGAGGCTGTTCACCAGACAACCCAGGTTGGGCTGGGCCAGAGTTTGTGCGTGGGAATTGGAGGAGATCCCTTTAATGGCACAAATTTTATAGACTGTCTTGAAGTTTTTCTTGGTGATCCCGAAACTAAAGGTCGGTACTCGTCAGTCTTTCTGTACTTTCATATCTCACCAACCAGCTCGAAGTGTTAAGTTATGCAGACCTTGTATTTATACTTCTTTAGAATCAGTATTCTCAGAGTGAATGATAAAGCTGTCTTAAATTCTCAAAAGTTTGTTTTCCTGTTTACGCTCATTATTTTAATAGAGGATTGTGTTATCTCTGCTTAAATCAGTCCTTCATATTTGAAAAATGCACGAGGGCTGTTGTAAACGAGGGGGGGGTGATGGCTGTTAATGGGCTGATGATGTATCTCAGTTCTTTGTTTACAGAAACTAAATTGTCAGAACAGAGTTTTGTTTTCTGAAGTGTGACAACTTCACCACATAACACTGGACTATGATGACCTCCGATTAGTATAGCAGTCCTTGTGACCTCGAGTAAATTAGAAAGTAGTTCATCAAATGCAATTTAGGTCATGATCAAATTTGCTAAAACTCTTTTTGCTAGTCTGAATTAGCTATTAACTAATATCCAGTTTTGTAGTTTACTTGTTAAAATTAATGTACGTGTAACATTGATAGTCTAGGCCAATTAAAATTAAAGTATTGGAGTCATAGCAGAAAACAGGGTTACACTAAGTTATCAGAAAGCATACAAACGATAGTTGGTTTCACGGCCAATGCCGTGACAAATAAAATTACAGGATCTGAATTCAAAAGTATTATTTATTGATAAGAATAAAAAGAACCAGTGGTGGGCCCCAAACAGTGGATCTCATGACAGATTTGTGGGTTCTAATCAGCACTTGCAATACTAATTTTGTGGGTTCTTTTGAGCATTAGTTTCCACCAAACGTGAAGGACTGGCTTACATTTTTAACTGGCAAGTTTGAAAAAACAAACAGCTCTTGTTATAAATTTGCTAAAAGGTAAATATGTATTGTTCTATTTTGTCAAACTTTCCATAGTTCTCACGAAAGAGTTTTAAGTCAGAGTGAATTGAAGTATTCAGTTGATTTATACATTTAAATTAGTAGGGTTAACATTGGGCATAAACTTCTCTCTGGAATGAGGGCCAGGGGTGTACGAACAATTTACATAATCTCTTGTCACTTAAAGTAATTAATCCCTGACCACACCACACTACGCTACATCTTCCCCTTCCAAAAATTCATCCGTGTATTTTATGCTTGCCTTCAGTAGCCGTTTACATTTTTTTAGACTGAGGTGTCTGTTGATTCTTTAATATTTTAGGTATAATCATGATTGGAGAAATCGGTGGAGCAGCAGAAGAGAGAGCTGCAGATTACTTAAAGTTAAACAATTACGTAAGTTCACACATTCCAAAAACTGCGTATTTAGTTAAGAAAATTGTTTTTATTTAATTAAGCATATAGATTTTGTGTGTATGTAGTTGATTTCTTTGAATTAAAAGGAAAATAATTTAGTGTTAGGTTAGTGAGAGTAATGTTTAGAAAGTTAGGCCTAATGACATATACTAGGCTAAACCTATTTTAATAATGATTGTTATAAGAAGCTTCTTCTAAACATAAATGTTTAATTATTTCCATTATGAATGTAACCACAACATAATTTCATTGAGAATTTCTAAAAATAGTTTATATGAGTGTATGTTTTTTGATAATTATTTATAAATGGCCAAATGTGCTATACCTGGGTTTGGCTTTTCTGTGCATATCATAACAATTTTCTGAGTTATATTTAGAATTTAATTCAACAACTTTATCATCAATGTATGTCAATAAACTTGACATGAAAATATAGTTTATGATATATTATTTGAAGTTATATTATCTGATTTTAAATTCTTAATTTCAGAAGTAAAGAAAAAAAAAAATCAGTTGTTATTTTTCTGCATCTGAGCTCTGAATTCTCCACTTCAGAATTTTCTAGTTTATTAAAATAGTGTTACAGTTTTCAACCAATTAGAAGCACAAGCTATACAAAAATTACCAAAAAAAATTCTAAAACTTAACCTCCTATCTTTTTGATTTATTGAAATATCTATAAATTTGTGAAACCCACCAGAGACCCCCTTCCCCCCTCTCTTACTTTTGAGATTGGCTAATAGACTTTACGTGGTTGATTGACATGTTTATGACCAATAGGAAGAACAGACTTGCTACACTTATTTGATTTTAGAATCCCTAGAATAACCTTTGTTTGAATCCAAACATTGTATTTCTGCTCTAAATGGGAAACAGAATGTTTTTTATCTATTTATGTAAGAGTAGGATGGAAGATCAGTTATTCAGCAGTTGAATAGTTATTAGTAGGGAAGATGTAACTTTAAGTAGTACAAAGGAGTAGGATGGAAGATCAGTTAATCAGCAGTTGAATAGTTATTAGTTGTGTACTCTTAGGAAACCACGTAAAAGTTTAGGACATTATATTCTAGTGCCTGATATATTTTTTGTGTTCTAAAATGCATATTTGAAAGCTACATTAATTCTCTTTTTGGACACCAAAATTTGTGAGACTCAACAAGGCTTACAGAAGAATACCATTTGAGTGTATTTGAGTATGCAGAGATTTAAAAAACAAACTTACCTAACTTATAAACACCATAAATTTCTTAGCCTAACCTAACAAGGCTTCAGTAAAATAAAATGTAAAATTACATTAGCACACGCATCTCTAACGGGACACCTCACAATCACTTAGTCTTTATGTTAGCTTTATAAGAAAGAGCTAATGGGCTCCTGCTGTGATTTATTGCTTTTTCATACAGCAGTTGGTCAAAAGTAAAGGTGTTTCCAGGTGCCGGCACATGGGGCTCGTGCCTCAATTCTATTTAACAGTTGGTGTCTTGAAAAATCAGAATAGAAAACCATGATCAATATCACACTGAAACACGAAAAATTCCTGTGCCTGCAGACTCGAACCCTGAATATTTTTATGTACGTAGCAATGCCTCTGGTTCAAAATACATCAGTAAAACCATAAAATTAAGAAACAGATATGAAAAGTTTAGAAGTTGAAGCTCCTAAGATAATTGATTTGGATCTTTTTGATCAATATTGCAATGAAAGCAGAAGAAAAATGAAAATATTCGTTTTGTTTCATACTTTTAAACTTTTCATTTCACTCTGTGTCGATAATTTTGCTACAGTTAGGGTTAGGATAGAGAAAATATTAAGTTTTACCAGAAAAACTTTGGATATTCATTTAGGAAGTTCTAAAAGTTATGCAATGAAATGTGAAAACTGTAAAAGCTTTGGAATTTCGTAGACAAATCTTTAGTAAAAATACTTTATTAAAAAATATGGCTACTAAAAGCTTGCCAAATTTTGTGAAGATATATTTTCTAGATTCAGAATTATAGTAAACATTACAGATTGGTCAGTTCGACCTAACCTGTGAACAGAGGGTTTAAATCAATTTCTAAAACAGTTTGAAAAGTTTGCTTTAATGTCCCAGAACACTTCGTAATCTGGATTGCTTTGGCATTTACTAGCCTAGGCAATTAGTGGTATTTGCTAATTGATTAATCATTGGACTCGTTAATTTATTACTTTCAACTATTCTATTATTCTCACATGACACTTAGATAGTTGGAATAATTGGAAACTTATTTTGATTAATCACTAATGTTTTTTGTTCTTTTATAAATATGCATTTTGTAACACACAAGATATATCAGACACTAGAATAGATTGTCTGAAACGTACTGTAATTTAACTGTCTTTCTAACAATGGTTAAGAGAAGTGTTATAGCTGTTCAAAGATGAACATCATCATCTCAAACAGGGAAGCTGAGGCTATATACAAGTGTCAAAAATGAAGTAACCTGTATGAAGAACCTTCTGAGGAAAATTTTTTCTTTTCCTATTGGTTATATATATATATATATATATATATATATATATATATACTAATAATAATAATAAAGGAAGGTAAGTTATTACGTACTAACTAATAAGTAAAGTAAGTAGTAAGTAGTATACTATATTGGTTGGGTTCGTACGTTAT